CACGGCTAGTCTATTAACTGTTTGAACAAGTCGTTACCGAGACCGTGAAATTATGAAAGGGGCAAGAAAAGGGATGGTGCCGGCGGCAATGATCTTGTGAAGCAGCAGACAAGAACACTAGATTTCGAGAAATCGATGATGTTTTGAAGATGGTTACCTAGAAATGCCTAATGAAAGCATATATTTTCTCACCTTTTCACTTATTCTAAGAATAATAAATTACTCTGGATCCACTCTTCATTCTTTTTAAATAAATTTCGCACTATTGTTATACCAAATTAGTTTGTAAGCCATGAACGTTCTTTATTTGTTATGAGGGCCAGGAGACCCAGGTACCCTTATAATTCTAGGAGAAGACGTCAAAGTAACTTCTAAGAATAAAGACAATATCTTTGTATGTCCTGCCAAGCAAAATGTTTAAACCCTTCTTTGTTCGTCGTCGCATCTAATGCATTCGATATTTTTGTGCCCGTATGTGCATCGCATGTCATGCGACGAAGAGAAAAATTGCATCATTGAAACTGAATCTGTTACACGTCTCTTAAAATCCCACGATTATTTTCGAATATAGCTAAGAGATGGCGAAACCCACTTTCTTCACTATTTTCGCAGTAAGATTTCCCGCCTTGAATTAAAATCAAAATCACTTTGTACTTTCTGTAATTTCACTTTCAATAGTGCTACCGTTACATGTCAAAAAAGTTATGATGGATTCAAAAAGTGAAGTCGACTACAGTGAATTTATTATCTCTCAGTCTGAAGATGACAGTTCTAATTTATCAAGTGAAAAATATTTTCAAAAATATTTTTTACCTAATATTAATAATTATTTTATGTAGATATTTATCTTAAACACATTAAAGCAATAGAGTTAATAAATATGTTATCACGGTGTATTGTTTTAAAATACTTGAGTGCATTGCAAAAAAAAAAAAAAACTGGAAATCAGTGGACAGGACATCACATATTTCACCACCTGAAAGTCAAGCAAAAAACTGCTTCACAAAACTGTTATGTATCTGTAGAACATATATTAATTTTCAGTAATAAAAAAACTGCTTTTTTTGGGCTGGAAATTTCGGGGAAAAAAATCCGACAGAGAAAGGATTAAACGGTAAAAGAACATTTTTGTAAGCTTCATAAGGTTTCTCTAATTGTCAACTTCCTTTTGCATACTTACTTACACAAAGCGATTTTAGTGGTTTGCTAAACGTATCGTTCAAATGCTATTTTTTTTATTTTTCTGGGTGCTACATGTTTAGTTTATATTACTATTAAATAAATATAGAAAATCATTCAAAGATCCAGCAGCCGCTTATTAAGTTTTAGATGTAAGAATAAATGTGTTATAAATATTTATTATTCGTAGTCTTATTTTTTAAATATTATGTTAAACTAAATTGCATTAACATACCGTTACTTTTTGAATTAAAATATTTTGTCATTCACTGCTAAAAAATTAGGTACAAGACTTTAAAAGAAAAACAAATATATTAAAATACTTAAGTGCAAAATTTATTTTATTAAAACACATATAAATTATTTATTTTAAGAATATTTTTGGGTCATATAAAATGAAATGATTAAAAGAAAAAAGAGCAATTTAAAAATTTCATGTTATTTATTTATGGCTTCATCAGAAGGGCCTTGAAATAGAAAATGATAAGTCGAATTTTAATTCCTACAATTTCTTTTTCTTTTATTTAAATTTATTTTAGTTGTGTATTAAGCTTTCAATTTTGTGTTTCAAATAATATATTTTTTAATTGTTCAATTAAAATTATTTCTCATAAATAATATTGAAATAAAATTTCAAGAAACAAGTTATTTTATTGTTTGTAGCTTTTGTCTTCAAGATTAGTTCAAACTGTAATTATTCATGAGCAAAAATGTAATAGTATTCTATTGCTTATTTTATTTAAAATCTGATGTGTTTAAAAATAAAAAAAAAGCTTTAGTTTTCTTTTGATTAATATTTTTTTTTACTATTTTGTTACTGTATTGATGTATTTGCTTCGAAATTATTGTTTTGTGTACTATCTTTCTGGCCAAAAAAAAGCAGAAAATAGGTTTTTCCATTTTCATAACTTAATTATTAGTAAATAAAAATTTAAAAATTGTAGTGTTATGTAAAAATTCAATTCACACTTTTGTATGAAAAATTAAAGATATTCATTTTTAATACAAAAGTGTGAAGTTTTTGTCTGTTGAACTTACTACTTGATAACATTTGATATTTCGAGAAATAAAGAATGTGTTAACCTAACATAATTATGAAATTTAAATAAATTTCTACAAAAACAATTAATTATCTAAAAAGTAAAAAAAAAAATAATTAGGCTATTTTAGTTCAAAACCAATGCCAAGCATTTTTAAATTTTTCAGGAGAAGCAAAAAAATAACTCGTCAAATATTTAAAGTCACTAGAAAGAAATCCTGCCAAATTTACAGTTAAAGCACATGGTGCGCCTAATTTGTCATTACATTAAAATATCAACTTTAGTTCTCTTGGGGGGGAAATAATTTTTTTCTTATGTATCCGATCTCTTTATAATCCAAGCTCATTATTCCTGTCCTAATTTAGTTTAACACTCAATATTTTATTCTTATTTATAAAAGTTATACTAAAAGCTACTCCATATACCTATTACTGCTCACCAAACATTTAATGAAAAATACGGGTCATGACCCCCCCCCCCAAATTGAAAAAGAAATAAAAACAATAATTTTTTTAATGCTTTACAAAAGTAATAAAATATTTTAAGAAATATTTAAGGGGGCATATACACCTAGGTAGGTCGGAAAAATCGTTTCAAAAAATTTTCTCCATCTAATTATGTTCTTCACAAATAACTCTGCCAGTTAGTGCAGCAACAGCAGAACGTTCCTTTTCAACTCTTCGACGTCTCAAAACTTGGCTTAAGAGTAACTCAAAATCAAGAATGATTAAATGGACTCGCATTATTAAACATTCATCGAGAAATCGATTTGGATGTTGAAAAAATCATTGACAGATTTGCCAAAGTTTCTGAAAAACGCATTACATCTATTATTTGAAGATTTTGAATACTTGAATTATTTATGTATTGTTCATTATGGAAAAAATAAATGCGAAGACTAGCATTAAAAACCCCATTTTTTTTTTCAAAAAAAGTATTAAAAAAAACTTTTTTTTATAAAAAAAATAAATTTTGTGGGGGAGGGGGCAATCTGAGTCTATTACCCCCCCCCCTCAGGAACAATTTCTAGATCCGCCCCTGAGATATATACATATATAAGTTTTGATTCAAATCTACAACAGTTATTATTATTATATATGTATATTTTTGCTTAACTCGGCACCATAAAATACTACTAAATTATATTCATATAGCATAAAAAATATGTTAAAAAACATCTCAAAAAACACCAAACCAAACAAAAAAAAATTCGTTAAAACAATTTAAATTATAATGGATGTAATAGAAAATGCAACATTTTTTAACATTTGAAATAAATATTAGATTTTATTTATTAATAAATAAACGTAAAGTTGCATTTAATGAGCAAATATGAGCATAAAATTGCCATTGATTTTCAAACATAGGCTTAAAAGAAAAAGTCTTCCAACAAAATTTGAATAGTCATATGAGTTAATAAATCACTAAACATTATATTTACCCTCTAAATGAATAAAAGCTGAATTTAAAATAAACACCTTTTAGAACAGAATACTATTCGATTCATTTTAAGTTCAGATGAATTATATAGCTCTTTAAGCTATTTTTTTTACCTGCTAATATTCGAAATAAACACACACACAATTTTTAGATATAAGTATTGTAAAAATATCGAGAAATGTTAAGATCAGTGTCAGACAAATTATTTACCACTAAAAAGTTCCTTGATAATACATAAAGATAATCAAAAGTGGAATAAAAAACATAGCAGTAGTTGTGAATAATACTGAAAAAAAAACTATGTTAGATTACAATAATATTCTCCGAAAACATGAAGAAAAAAAATCAGCCCACACTACAGGCAATTTATGTCTATATCTTGTTGTCAAGGTTAAATTTTTTTTCTTTTATTCTTTTTTTTATTTTTATTTTTAGAAAGACGTTACAACAAGTGGAGCTCTAATCCCGAGCTAAAATAAAATGTGTTTTATAATTTCTAGTTAGTATTGAATATCCATGACTACAAATTTCTCCTAATGCTGTTAAAGCCTTACACACTAATACACGTATGTGCAGTAAAGTTATGACGGCAATAATCGCGTCCAAAATTAAAGCTTTGAAAGAGAACTGTCTCCACCTTTGGCCACAACATAGTTGGATCCATCAGGTTTTACATACTCTATAATGAGTGTAAATAAGAGTAATGAAGACTTTGTTCCTTTATGCATGCCCTCTTCCATAAACAATGACTGAATATTTTGATAAGTAGTTTAATTTTTAGTTTTAAACAGCACAAATAGCATTAAAATAAATAAATGTAATAATATAAAAAATAGTAAAAAAAAATTTTATTTTTCAAAAAAATTATAAATTTAATTCACAAAAGTAAATATGCTAAAATTATGACGGCAATAATCTCGTACAAAATTAAAGCTTTGAAAGAGAACTGTCTCCATCTTTGGCCACAACATAGTTGGATCCATCAGGTTTTACATTGTCTATAATGGGTGTAAATAAGAGTAATGAAGACTTTATTCCTTTATGCATGCCCTCTTCCATAAACAATGCCTGAATATTTTGATAAGTAGTTTAATTTTTAGTTTTAAAAAGCACAAATAGCATTAAAATAAATAAATGTAATAATATAAAAAATAGTAAAAAATATTTTATTTTTCAAAAAAATAATAAAAAATTTAATTCACAAAAATAAATATGCTAAAATTTTCCAAGCTTTTGTCCATTATTGGCCTCACAATTTAAAAATTTTAAAATATGGATATTCATTAAATTTTAGTTTCTTTTTTTAAAAAAAGTAAACAAAAATCATACATTTCCAGAAAATTAAAAAACAAACATATTTATTTACAAAAATACATTAATTACAGTTTTACAGTTTTATGGTTTGGCCGAGAATTTTATATAAATGCTGTGTTTCATTGTGTGTAAGTTCTTCTTTCAAACAAAAGCCAAATTCAGAAGTAATATCAACATCATGATACAACAATATATGACGTTTCACAATCTAAGGAAAAAATTAAAATGATATTACAACTCAGAACGATATTAGAAACTCAGAAACATCTTAAAATAAATAATTAAAATAAAACTTGTACATTTATTAGATATAATTCACAATGCATTTTAGCTCAGATACATAAAGCTTATTTATAAAATTTAATTCAGGTATCTTAAACTGAAGGGGAAAAAAATGTTTTAAGAAAAGGGAGTAGGAGGAAGGACTTTAAATTTAGGAAGAAAAAATTTAAAAATTTATAAACATGTTAAATATAATTTAGTTCAAATACATAAAAATAAAAAAAAGAAATTAATTTTAAATAAAACTAGGAGAGAAAAAAAGAAATTGCTTATTAGATAGTATTTAAATTGTTAAATTGCATTAGTTCAGCCACAAAAAATTTAAAAAACAAAAATACTACTAATATTTTAATTTCTGATATATATATATATATATATTGATTCCATTTGTAATCAAAACTTGAGCACAAAAGTTTTATATCTTAATTTATACATATGATGAGGTAAATGTTTATATGGCAAAAATTTGAAAAAGAATAAAAAATTATCTTATTTAAAATAAAATAACAATAAAAACTTTTGAATTTTTTCATACATCTATATTTTAACTAAATAAAGCATAATTTTTATATTTTAAAACTTTGATTCAAAAAAATTTATGCGTACAAAAATGTTAGGTTTAGCAACATCAAATAAATTATTGAAATTTAAAAAAATATATAATGTTAAACAAAAATATTTTTTGTCAAAATTAAGTAAATGGAGTAAGGCATTTTTCAGATAAGAAATAATTAGATTGTGTAATATTACATGCCTTCTCTTAAAAAAAATTAAGTCTTTTATGTGTTTTACTCATGTTCTTCATCTCAAACAATCTAAACTATATAATCTGTACAAGAAACCTAAACCTATTAATTTAGGGATTTGCGTTTTAAGTAAACAGCCTAGGGCTTGTGTTAAAAAAACGGTCTTTTTAATAATTTATTTATTTTAATGATTGCAGCATAAGTCAAAATACATCAATATAAGACATCAAAGATACATAGAATTGGTTTCTTGAACAAAATTATTTTCAAAGGGAATAAAAACTTGTGTCCCAAATAGGACTGGGCGATATAAGAAATTTTATATTGTGATGCATCGTTAGTTTTGCATCGCGATATAGCGATGTATCGCGATAGAGTATTTTTGAAATTCATTTACTTGCAAGGCGCAGAAAGTCGGATTTCTATCAAAACTTCATACTCAGATTGATTTAAATCAATTTATGAATTTGATGTATATGTTTTGCTTAAGAATAATATTAATGTTATATTTCCTAAAAATGATCGAAATAACGAAAGATTTCTTAGTTTAAAAATAAATAATAAAAAAATAAATAAAATTGAAATTTATCAATACATTTACCCAACAATATAGAAAGAGAATTTAAAAAATAAGTTCGTTAAAAATTATTTGTATGCTTAAAACAAAGTGCTAAATAAAATAAAAAAAAAAAAAACACTTTTAAAACAACACTATTTTTTATCATTATTATTTCACATAAATAATAAAGTTAAATTGAATAATTACCGAATTCTGAACGAAAAAACAAAGTAAGGTTTAATTTCTTAAAAATAAAAACAAAAGAATTATGATATTCGATAATATATTCAACTGACAATATTGAAAGAAAATTAAAAAACACGATTATACTCTTTAATAAAACGAAGTGCTAAATGATTTTAAAAAAAGAAGTCGCAATCGCAAACATTACTAATTTTTTTGAATAAACAAAGTTGATTGACTTATGTCCAAATCCAAAAGAGGAAAAATAAGTTTTGTTATAATTTTATTTATAAAAATGAAAACAACTAAAGATTTATAAATTTAAAATCAGTAATAAAAACCCATTAAATTATTATTTTATCCAAAAAGTTTTTAATAAATTAAAATAAAGTAAAAAATAGCCTAACAAATTTAATTACTTTTTAATTTAATTCTTTATGGGCACCTTAAATTAGATTTCCGTTTGTAATAAATTCAATAATGTAAAATAATACTTAAACATATAATATCAAAATTAATTTTCACATTTAAAAATAAAAAAGAAAGTTTTGTTTCAAAAAAAAAATTTACCTAATTAATTAAGAAACACTTCTTTATATATTCTTTTCAATAATAGATTACGTTCAGAACAAGGTAACGACGATCACAAAGTCAGTCCCACTGAAAATAATCTACAAGAAACGATATCAAGTCGCGACAAAGCAGAAGAAAAAAACTAAGAGGTGCGGAAACGAACATGCGAGATCACGATATATGTTCTCAAAACTGATTCTGATTCTACCGCTCATCAATCAAGGCCGTTTCAATATAACGATACGAACATCGTCTTCCCCAGCGCGAGTTGGCATCGGAACGTAAGAGATCCTTGCTTGTCTTGTATCGCTATATCGTATATTGTTCGTCTTCCTTACTCGACGGCTAATCAGATTTCTGATGCATCGCCTGGACGAAAGTCGCTGTATCGGCCTGTCGATACAGGCGTTAAATCGATATGTCGCGATATATCGATTTATAGCCCAGTCCTAGTCCCAACCAAACGAAAAGTAATACTGCCACTGATTTATCAGCAAGTGCTACTAAAAAATATTTCCAGAAAGAACGTAAGACCGTTTGTGGAAGCGAAACACACATACACACAGAGTTTATTCATATAGGTTTCACAGGGTGTCAAAGTTGATAGTATACTGATGTCAGAATAGTTATAGTCCTTAAATACTTAAAGGTTTTTATGAACAATCTTTATGAAAATAGTGCACATACATTATACTTAGTTTACAAAATTTTTCTTTAGAGCTTTTACAGCTGAACAATTCTCTTTCACTACCACAGGTGTTCACGCTATATATCACGACTGATTCTTTAAAAATAGATTGTGCTTGTTCTAGTGCTACTGGAATAATCTATAATTCAATGACTTGTGCAAAAAAGTCATTGAATATTCGGAAGAGCCGCCATCTCCCTTTCAGAAAATTGCAATCCTTAAAGGTTTTTGAAAAAAGAAGTTGGCTATGAAAGAATATATAATACTTTAACTTTATAAATTTTTTAAAAAATAATTAATTTTTTTTTCTTTTGATACTTTTTCTAAAAATACTTGCTCTTTTCCCCCAAAAAAGTAGCGAAATAATAAGTAAATGCACTAAATACTAGTACTAAAAGTAACAAAACTCAAGTAAAAATATTGCCATGTATGATAAAAAGAAATCATCAAATTATTAAACTGAAATAATCCCCAATGACCACTTTGTTTTATACCAATACAGACATCATCATAAAGAAATACATCAAGAAATTAATAATTACTCTTTCATGAAACAATGATGTGTTTCATGAAAGAGTAATTATTCTACAGTTAGGTAAATGTAGGGTAATTACATGCATATAAGTAAGATGTAAATTTTAAATAAGCTATTAATAAATAAATAATTCTGCAATAAAACAAAATTTAATGCCTGTTTTTTCTTTGTATATTCGTTCAATTTACTTAAACTGAAATACTGGAATGCAAAATGAACTAGATGAACTGGAATGCAAAATAAATGTTATTCAATTTAGTAGATTTATTATGCTAAATAAACATCTCAACAAGTTCAAAATTTAATTTTAATACAATATTAAATAATTAGTGGTTGTTCAGTATTAATTTTAAAATCAGCTATTTTACAGGGTGAATTACTCATAAAATGATAAAACTAGAGACCATTGTATTCAGGTTACATCATTTTAAACCTTGTATATAATGTTTCAGAACTAAAATCTTGACAAAAGAATATGAAATTTCAATAAAAGCAATATAAATAAAAAGAACAAAATATTATTAGTAAAAAGGACTACTGCTTAAAAACTTACTTCATTTCGTGTAAGAGCAATATTTTTAATAATTAGCTTTTGAGGTTTTTGAAATTTTTCATTTTCCATGAAAATAAAATTATGAATATGATGAATAGCCATTAAGTACAGTAGTGGACATCTTTGATGAGTAAGAGTTCCTGCATAAATTTTTTTAATAAACAATATTGCATTATAAATGTTGCACAAATTTATATATATATACAATGCACTAAAATACAAATGAGTAACCTTTAATTCATTGAACAGATTTCACGTATACAACATATATCTATATATATTTTTACCTGAATACAGAAACTTTCCATATTAAATTTCATAATGATTTATGTTACAGGTTATTTATGCTAAATGATCATTGCTAACTATTGATATGAGGTTCATTGTGATACTTACCTTAAAGAATTAAAGATTTGACTAAGATTTTTTGGTCTGATCTAGTAATAGGGATAGAGTGGTAAGGTTACCCCTTTAAACATATTAGAAACACAAAGTAATTGCACCTTAATAAAATTAACTTTGAATGTAAGATGAAATCTAGGGATCACATTTTCATTGCCTAAAAATTAAATATATAACTCAGGAATTCCAACTGCTCTACACACCGAGAAAAAAAAATATGAAGAGGTTGTAAAACTAAATCTTTCATAATTATGTTCAAATTTGCAAATACTTTAAGAGCTTCATCACGATGTAATTGAAACAAAGTAGCATTTTACACAAACATTTGAATTATTTATTAATCAAGGCAAGGTAATGTAAAATTACATTTATTAAATCTTTAATGATACATTGAAACATAAGTTTTGTAGTGATTAGAGATAATTTTACGTTAAAGAGGAGCAAGCTGGCATTTCTGAACTACCTAGGAAAATAAAGCTAATTACGGACATAAAGATAGAAAAAAAGCTGCATTTCTCAATAATTGATGACTTTCAAGTAGGTTTTAAACAGTATTTGTTAAATTCCTTAAAGATATGTTGATAGATTTCAATAAATATATTGTAAAGAGTTCATGAGAAAAATTAATTTTAAGTTATTTGAGTTCAATGTATTGTTAGAATAGAATTATAGAATTGTTAGAATAGAATATTTTTAGAATAGAAACACTATTAATCCTGTTAGTTAGCACTGTGTAATAACTCTTACCTTTTTAAATTATTGTACGATAAACTATACCAATGATTTAGAAATTTGAACAATTTATTATTGAACGTCAACTTTCATTCGAAGATTATAGCAAAATAATGTTTGAAAAAAAGTTAAAAAAACTTATTAAAAAGTTGGATATTATTTAATGAAGTCTTTAGCATATACACATTATTTTAGTTGGGTAGACATGATTTTTATGAATAACTTGTGAAACTAAGAACATTTCTACTGAATGCAAAATAAATAAAAACAAGGAAAATTTACCATTTAATATGAGTTTCAAATATTCTCTTAAAATTTCTGCATTCAATTCACAGGGTTCCAAATAGCTTTTTACTGGTACTAAAAGCTGGAAAAATGAAGAAAATTATTGTAAGTTAAAATGAATGATAATATTATCAGATCTTTCAAGAAAGATAAAAAATTTTACTTTTGAAAGAGGTACTCGGAGAAAAGGTATAGCATGGGAATGATCAGTCAAAAGTATTTTTCGCCACTTATTAGGATAACATTGTTGTATTGGAAACAGAATACAGTTTCCAAAAAGATGATCCCCATATGATACTGCTTCAAACTGATTTAATAAATCCAGATAACTAAAAGAAAGAAAAAAAAGAAACATATTAATCAATTTTAATAAGATCAAAGTTGAGTCAATTGCAAGCATATAACTTTAAAATGTGAAAGAATAATTTACACAAATAAATTAAATATTTTCTACAAGTTACAAGTTATGCTTCATTACACACCAAAAAGTTTAAAACTTCATATAGATCAAAGTTTCTTGTCCAACTTATCAGTTTAAAGTTTTCACAAATTGACATTACATTAAACAACTTTTTTAATTCAATCTAAAATTATTTTACAAAAATTCTGATTTAAAAATTAGAAATAAATTAAAAAAGACGAGCAAACAAATGGTTTTATTAGTAATCTCTTCATACAGAATACAATTAAAAAAATAGTACTTTTACTCACAAGTCATCAAAGCTGCTGATATTACTGCAATTTAATTGTGACAATTCAATGATGCCTCTATCCTTTAATAATTCAATGAAATTTGCCTCATGGAGGGGCTTTATTTTTGGATTTTGAAAATAATCTTCATCTAAAAGAGAGATGAAAATTATGGGATAAAAAGGAATTTTCAAAATTGAACATAAAATTTTAATTATTTAAATAAAAAGCAGGTTATTTTTGAAAAAAGGAGAAATTAAGTTAATAACAATAATTAGTACCACATAACAGAAACAGGCAAAAGTCAAGAAAAATGGATAAAATATAATATTAAAAAAATGCACAATAGATAAATATAACAGTTTTAGGAAGTGGTACTTAACTTAGCAAAAACATAAGTATCAAAAAGAATATCCCTGCTCTCAAGTATAAGAGAAAAATATTATAATAGAGTTTGCATTCAATCCACAGAATGTTTGATAGCAAATAGTATTTGATATAGTGCCTCCACCAAAGCATTCAAAAATAGTTGCTTCAGTATGTAAAGCTCAAAAATAGAAGTCTAAATTTTATCCTTAGAATTAATAAAAAAATATAATTGACTAAATTGATTTTATTGCAAAAAAAAACCCTTAAGAAGGTAAAGATAATACATAATAGGGTTTATTTCAAGCGGATTTTGATGGTGTATCCCTCTGTTTGACCTCTGAATAGAAATTTCTGATATACACACTCTTTAATAATGATGCACGATACATATTAAAAATGAAAGTATTATGTTAGTATGAAATATAATTTTGAATTCTAGAAATCGAAGGAAGTTGCTTTGAAGGGTCGTGATTGATAATTTAATTTAATGTGATTCACTAATTTGGCAATAATAAATTTTTATAATAGTTGCCTTTTCATAAAATTCACCAGTTTCCTGAAGAAAGTCCTTTTTTAGCTGTTTTTTTTTCTTGTAATAATAGTAGCCAGAATTGTCAGCTTCGATTTTAGTATCAAAGAGGCAAAGAGTCTCCTTTTAATCGCAATAGAGGCCCTGTCTGCAGATAACATAATGAAATTCATTTGAAAAAAATGCAGAAATAATACTAATAATGATTTGAGTTATTGAGGCAGTTTTTACAGTTAAAATGCAATAGTTTAGCAAACAATTGGATGGCATACTATTATTTACAATGCATCAAGAAAATGTAAAATACTTAAAAAAATACACCAAATCTATATTTTAAATCTAGCGATTAGATTTTTACATACTATTTATGCAAATTACATAATTTTGACACATTTTGTCTGTACAGATGTCTATGTAAATATTATGTACCTATTCCATGGAAAAATATTATTGACTTTTTTATACAGATTTTAATTACCATGATTCAGAAAAAAAATCACAAAGTCTGTAAAATTTAAAAATAAATAAAAAAAGGGTTAAAACTGTTTCTTAATTTTTCAAATAATCACAATATCAGCCATAGTGAACCCTCCTCTTTAAAATAATTATTTAATTTGACACATTTAATGAACTATATTTTTGTATTAATATCATGCAAATCATTTAAGAGCATAATTACTATACATTTAGACCATATAAATAAAATTATTAATTTAAATATGAAAGTTTTTGTATCAAAACTGGCCAGACAAACTTCAGGTTTAACTTACAAAACTTTTTTCAAAATGAAGTAGTGTATTATTTCCTAATAAGCTACATTAAAAAATCTAAATACTTACCACCTGGTCTCAATCTTTATTAATTGATGGATTTTAAAATTTTATTTTTATATACCTAATACATAAGATTTTATGTACTTGAAAAGGTGCACAACATAAACTTTTGGACAGTAAGGTTATTTTTTAACATATTTTTTTAAAAAAATAACAACAAATTGGATTACAGCAATAAAAAAAATCGAAAAAAATTAAAATTGAAGAGAAATTGTAGATCCTATAAAAAAATGGAGATTTATTTAAGAATTTCATATTTGATCAGGTGGTAAAATTAATTAATACCTAAAAGAAAAACCATGGAAAAATAGCAAAATTCTTCTGATGCAGGGATGGATTTCAAGAAGCTTAATGACATTTTACGACTAAGTAAAATCCATTGCAGACAACCAGTAATTAGCAAAACATCTTCAGGAGCTAAAGATTCATTAGATTTTCTGAAATTAAAAAAATTTATTATTTTTCAAATTATTTTAAAAGGAAGAATAATATGAGAATTAAATATCATTGAATAAATAATGTAACAGCATTATATCATAGTTAATTGTTCATAGATAATATGCAGTTCCATATAACTTCAGAATTAAAGTATTCAGCAAAGTAAAGAGAATAATAGAAGTTTAAGCCGCAATAGCGCACTGGTTAAGGGACTGAGCTGTCATTTGAGAGGACTAATAATCAATATCTGTGGTTTCTTAAAGTCTGCCCAATTTCATATTGCTGGATACCAGCTTGTCTGTGAAACAAAGCCTGGTGGTATATAATGCTGACCACACTGCCACTATCAAGCTCTAAATCTCGAAATTGTAGAGCCTTATTGGCCAACAAAGAGATATTGCAACAGTGAATTACTTTCCTTTCCTAACCGGCTTGTATGGAGGTCAGGAAGCTGACCTTATGTCAAAAAGGTCCCAGGCTTGAATCCCAGACAAGGCATGGATGTTCTTGGTGCAACCGAAAGAGTGGTCAATAAATCTGTCTTTCTTATACTCGAATGACGGATGTCAATATCCGGGTGGGCATTGAAAGAATATCTTTTTTATAGAAGTTACATTTAATTGTTCCAAAATAGCAACAAAAAAATCCCTTCTATTAGATAGGTTATGTACATTAAAATAATGAGACCATCAGTCTCAAACCGCCATCCCACGTCTCCGCTGTGGACACCTGAAATCACTGAGGTACTCTGGAGAAGAAAAGTGTTTTGCCCTCTGTACCAAGTGCTTTTCGGCCCAGGCATCCCCTGAACATCTACTGGAATGCCTCGGTCTTTTAAAACAAGACCTTATAGAAAGATCCTTACTTGTTTTAGACTTTTTGAAGGTGAACAAACTCATGAACCTTGTCTAGCTAGGCTAGATATGGGACTTTGAAATAAGAAGAAGAAGAGAATAATGATAGACTTAGAGGTTGGGCAGCTCTAAGTCTAAGTCTATCATTATTCTCTTCTTCTTCTTCTTTCAAATTCCTGTTTCTAGCCTAGCAAGACAAGGTCAATGAGTTAGGCAAGAAATAATGATACATATCCAATGAAATAATGATACATATCCAACTAAAAAGTTAACTTCTTCAAGAATAGAGAGAAAACAGCAAGGAGAATTGACACCTACTAGAGTGCTGCATATTGTTATAAAATATCTGCAACAGATATGAGTGAACCAATAGAGAACCATCATGCCAAATAAGGGTAGGTAGTAAAAAATTTGAAGAGACAGCCTTGTCTTGTCATAGATTGTAGTGTTCAAGGGGAAGTTTTTTTTTCAAAATTATTATTGAAGAGAATATACTTTGAGAACTAACTAGCATTGTAACGTAACTAATAGACAAAAATTAGGTAATTTTCAACACATGTTAATTAGATGGTATCATTAAATAAATTACTAAAGGTTCAAACGATATATTATTAAGTCTTTAAAAACATCAAACATAAATTCTTATAAAGTGTTAACAGAAAAATTAAAACAAATTATTGGATATAGAAGGTGATTTCTACAACAGAAAGTGTTGTTATATTTTCTTTATTAATTCTTTTAGATTATTGTATCCGATCTACTGTCTCATCATTTGGCTAGAGTGTTCACTTGTTGACTGTTGGTGATATGTTATTCATTATCAGAGAAATTTTTATTTGATTCAACTGGTGATTGTTCTATTTTACTATATATAAATTTTGCAGTATATCAAGGTTTATGTATCATAATATTAAGAACATTAAACCTTAATTCAATTTAAAAAATTAAATATTAAGTTGAATATAAAAGAACATGGGATATGAGACAAATATTACCTATCAATAAATAAGCTTTTTTCCAATTTTGGCAACACACACAAAATTATCACTTAAAAAACTTTGGTAAGACTAAATAACATTTGCTAGATCAGCATTACCAGTTAGTTACGCTATGTAAACAATTACAAAATAATTCAAAAATAAAAATATATCTAAATCAAGCCAACCTAGTCAGAAATTTCTTTGAAAGTTATGCATCCATGTCTCTTCTATTAAAAACCAAAATCGAATTTATTCTAAAAGATATTGCCTTACTACGCACAAGGAATAATGATAAGATCTTATGAATTGAAGAAAAAAATTGCGTTCATACTCCAATTTACATTTATGTTCTGACGAAGAACCTGAAATTTTTATAACAGATTTCTGCATGATTGTTTTAGCTTTCTTCTTTATTGAAATCATCATCCATATTGCATGCATAGAAATAAACCACCTTTAAATGTCTAATTATGTTAGCATGTAGCCTAGTACTTGTGACAGATGGGATATCAACCAGACTCATTAATATTGTACAAAATAATCATAGAAAGTTGACAATCATAAAAGTGAATAATAAATAATAACTTATCTTAACCTTTTTGAGGTATCATGGTATAAATCAAAAATAGGAGCATAAAACCAATCATGTGGTAAAATGCACTTAGGATTACTTATGCAAGATAATGTGTCCAGTTCTATGCTCCCAAAGTAGAGATTTCTGAAATGAAAGTAAGGAAACCATCACTACATTTTATGGATAAGCAAAGAAAATTACAAAACAATATAACGAGGATTTTTTTGAGTCCAGAAAAAATATATTAATTGTTTGAGACTTTTTCTGCTACACGTTTATGTTCCTCAAAAAGTTAAAATATATAACAAGCTAACTCAATGGGAATAGAATATTTCATTTGTGAATAAACATTAGAAAAAATTCATTTATTAAAATGATACAAATATTTTGAAAGGAAGAAATAGTACAACAATTTATATCTTTGCTAAATTTTAGATAAGCAGAAAAGTTTAAAAACCTAATTTTTTAATTTTGAATAACAATATTATAGTTAAAGGGTTATGATTAGAAAAAAATACAGCATAAGAAATAAATACTTTATGTTATGCAAAGATATGATGGGGAAAAAAACATTTGATGATAACATTATTAAAATATCTCCCAAATTCCACACAAGATTTGTGTTTTGCAGTATTTGAGTAATAAAAGTTTGCCAACCAAAAGACTAAAGACAGAAGAATGGCTGTCATTTAAGGGTCTTTATAAATGGAACACTACACAAAAAGTATTAAATTTTCATAGTTGAGCAATAAAAGCATTTTGGTAATGTGAATTCCCATTTTGGTGATCAGAATTGGTGGCCAGATCTCTTTTATGTCTATTGTTAAACAATAAACCTCTCATGCCTTACAGGAGGAAATTGAGAACTGTACTAACAAAATTCAGCCACATTTAAGAAAAATGGTCACTTAATATTTCATTACATTGAATATATAAAAAATGAGAATTAATAACTATGAGTTACCTTAATGTCACTTATATAAGATAACTGTTAAGGTATATGACTGAAAAATTGAACATTATAAATCCTATTTTATTAAAACCAGCAGTAAGTTTTAGAATATGCTTCTAGCAACATGAAGCAAACATGAAGAAAGCTAAACAAAAAATAGCACAAATATCAGACATATTCCACTTCTGAAACTTCCTTCAATATTAAAACACAGAGTCAAAGAAGGAAACACAAAGACTGAGAAGAAAATTGTAAACATGTTACATTACATTATTAATTTGATAAATTGCTTATAACTTTCTTTTTGCAGATCAGTATTTCCTCATTTTATTCTGTGTTCGGACACAGACGCAGGTTCTCCATTATAGAATCAATATGATAAGTCAGTTTAAGTGGTACGATCAGGACATTTTTTTCGTAATTTAGCTTTATTGATAGAAAGCACAAATTTAGCCCTTTCTTTATTTGAATAGTTCCAATTAAAAAATATGCTAATGATTTAAATATTTAAAAAAAAATTTTAACAGTAAACATTTCAAAAATGCTTGAATAAAAATAATGAAATATTTATTACCTAGAATGAACAACACATTTTTCATCTAAAAAGTATGATATATAACACCTAGCAATCACTGGAAGAATGGAGACTATATTTTGAACACCAGCAACATTCGAAGATCTGAATGAAAAATATTAAAAATCAATTTTTTGTTTTTAAATAATTGGTAGTAAAATAATATAGTTTGTTTTTGAAGTGATAATTAATTCTCTTTAAAACATTGTATCTGTGGATATTTAGTGATCCAGTTGAAATTTGTGAAAAGCGTTTTTGTGATAATATTTAACATAAAAAAGAATTAAATGATTAGATGTAACAATAATTCAAGCATGACTACTTGTCCAACACTCATGCCATCTACAATAATTCTAAAATGGATAATTAACAACTTTAAGAATTTTGCATCCAAAAAAAAATTTGATGTTTCTGACGCCACAAAACTTTATTTGCAAATGGTAAAAGAAGAAAAATTTATTTTATAATTGCTCATTTAAAAGGACTTATCTTTTTTTTCATAATATGTGTTCTTTAAACAATATTTTTAAACAATAATGCCCAAAACTTTTCAGATAAATGGGTTTCAAATACAGGGTGTGCCAAAAAACCAGGAGTAAGTTATTAGAAGTTGATTAATTTCTTTTTAACAAGTGTGTTAATTTCGTTTTGTCTACCATTTTAATTATAAAATATATAATATTATATGCCTCTAAGATAATGTATAGTTTTTTAGATTTCTACTATCTACTCTTTTAGAGTTGTATAAGGTGGGAAAATGAGAGAGTGAATTCCTCTGTACAGAAAAGCTTGTACTCTCTTAAGTAATCGCTTTGGCTGGAAAAGGGTAGATTCAAAGTGAAAGACTCGAGGCCCATTGTTGAAAATATCAAAAAGCATTTAAGTCTCTGCATCGCTGCAAAAGGAGGCCACTTTGAAACAGCTACCGTAAAATAGGGATAAAACGCCCCCAACTCCAGAAAGCGACCCCTTTGTAGTTTTTCACGAATACTGATTGCCAATCAGTACCAAAAAGCGTCCCCTTCCTTACAACACAATTCAAAAGTTCTTATTTTAAAAATTTCTTTCTAAAAAATAGTTATCTTGATGTTTAGCATGTTTAGCATAGAGGATTAATGTATTAATGTTATACCCTAAATGAGCAAGTGCAGGTGTTTGTAAAGTACAGAGGGAAGAGAAGGGGAGAAGCAATCCTCCACACAAGTGGTCAACATTTCCTCCCTGCTGCATGTAGGTCAAGGACGCTTTGAATGGTGCATATGCTGCCTTCAAGAAAGAAGGAAATATTAAGGTGGGGTGGGAGATGAAAGAATTGAATGTAAAAGATTTAGTGAAAGGGAGAGGGCATTACTCTTAGAAGTGTCCAAAGGGGGGGAGAATATGAATAGAAAGGGGTGGAGATGAATGGAAGAAATATGGAGTAAAAGGGAGTGATTCTTTCTTCGAATTTTTCTTAAGGGGAAAGGAAAATTCAAACACTTAAGGAGAGGAAACTAAACACTTTATGTGTTCACGTAGATAAGAATCAGTCATTGAGATTTGCAACAAGCATGATGCCTAAAATAAGTTCTTACACTGTATCTAAAAAATTGAAAGTCATCTGATGGCATAAGGAAAATGGTTCCGTAATACACCAGACTTCATAGCATTTCAGCATTGACAGAAAAAGAATTCGAGAATGGATTACCAAAGCTAACAATCTATTGGTTAACAATCATGGAGAACAAAAAAAAGGGGTAAATTGATCAGTGGCAGAAAAACTTTACTTTAGGAGTCAGATAATACCCTCTTCGAATTTTTAAGAAAATAAAGGGAAAATGACTTTCCATATCTAACAGGATGCTGAAAGAAGAAACTTTAAATTAGCAGCAACTCTTGTGCTTTCAGATTTTAGAGTATTGTGGATGTACATAAAACAATGGGAAAAAAAGGTAAGGAATTTCAATGCAATGAGGAACTAATGAAAGCCAGAAGTTGCAAGCTGATCACGTTGAAGCAGCAGATAGCTTTATTCAAGCTATCTGCTTCTTGAGGATGAAAAATGATTACACGCCATACAATATAAGAAATATGGATCAAACTATGGTGAAGTTTGATGAACCATATGCTGGAACAAATGACATGGTTGAAAAAAGCACCATAACACTATAGCACTAACACCAGGTGCAAAAAGAGAGGATTTATGGTTGCACTAAGCGCAGCTGAATCTGGATAAAAACTCCCCACATTTCTGATTTAAAAAGAACCGACTGAACACATCTCCCCTTTGTGTGCTGAAGACCTAAAACTACAACACATTGCTAAGGTTCCCTACTCTGTCAATGGATGGATGATGGCTAACCTTATGGAAAGCTGGCTAACTAGGATTTGGGGTCCAAATGAGGATGATGTTCAGAGGTTAATTATCTTGGATCGAGGCTCTATCCATAGAACCTCAAGTCTCTCTGAAAAATTAATAAGCCTGGATACAGATTTAGTTTTTAATCCGGCAGGGTGCACAAGCCATCCGTAGCCAGCAGATGTTTTGTGGATAGCTCCCTTTAAAAGTACATTAACAAAAGAATGAGCGCTCTTCATTAGGAATAAACAAAAGATCCTTGCCGGGAATTTAAAAAGGCTGATTCGGCAAGATGTGATTGCTTTTGTGTCGGTGGCTTGGGGGGCCATCTCCGAAGAGAAGATCTGTAAGTCATTTAAAAGATATGGTATTTCCAAAGCATTAGATGAAAGTGAAGATGGTTTTTTTTATTCCCGATTAGCCGAGGTTAATGTCGGATCTATAGACAATATTACTCATTAACTGAATGAAGAATACGCTGAACTTATTTAGGACGATGACTCTGATGTTTTTTGATGGATTTTCGGATTCTGTTTAATGTAAATAAATAAATTATCATTCATTTTATGAAATATTTTGCCATCTAAATTTTTTTTAATTATTTGCATGTGCCGCAATCGTACTGAAATTTAAAAATAAAGGATTGCTGTAGAAGGTAAGTTGGATTTATCAATTAAAATTTATATTTACTTTCTTTTACTATAATTATTACAACTTCATTTTGTTTATTTCTTTGTGACAAAGATTTAATTATGCCCAATGAATTTTGTTGAACTTTTTAAAATGACGCACTGCATTTTCTTCAATACCATTGATTTGTTTCCCTTGACTTCACAGAGATTTTCTTCAAAATTAGGGTGACGCTTTATCGGCATTTCATGCTTCAGTTATTCATTAGTAAAAGTCTGCTATTATTCTTATTTGATATATTTAATTATTTTTTTTAATAAAGTTTGAATTAAAAATTGCTTCTCCAGGTTTTTTTGCCCCACCCCGTAGATTCCATGTATTTTGCAAAAAGTGAAAAGGCGTAAATCTAAAAAATAAAACAAAACTCGTCCAAAAGCTTTAAGGAATTTAAAAGTTTATATGGTTCAAAATTTTAACAATGTTTTACAACTTGATAACAAAATATACAACTCTGAAAAATTTTGAAAATAGTCTGTGAAAAAAATAAATGGTAGGAAAGCCTTGGTCTAAGTGATAAAACAAATTAAATCCTCTTTTCATCATTACTTAATTTTTTTACTTAATGACTAAGCAAATCATCCACTCCGTCTCTAATAACATGTATATTTCGAGTTTCTGATAGCAATTTAAACGTAACTTTAAAAATAATAATTTGAAAAAGCAATATTAAGAAATTATAAAAATACTTAGATTTCTATAACAACCATTTTCACTTAAGAAATCGGTTTGATTATTAATATTTAAAATGAAAACTTAACTAATAAAATTTTTTAAATTACTTAAAAGTAATTAAGAAATACATACGGTAAGAACTTTTCATTAAAAATGATGTTTTCAAACAAGTCTTCAATTAAGCATTCATCTGAAATTCTTAAAGTAGGCAAAAGAGAAATCGCTGTTTTATGTAACTCCAAACATTTATGGGGCTGAAAATTTGGAGGTAAAATATCAATTAAATGTTACAAAGAAAATGAAAACAATCTTAAAATTATTATAAACATCGAATTGTGAATAATACTACTATACATTTTGAAATTTTAATTAAAGTAAAAAACTTCTTAAAGAAAATAATTTTAATGTAGTTTTGCTTCATTAATTTCATGAACTACAATCTGTTTGAAAGTTTTAAGAAAAGTTATTTCAGTTTACTACTTAAAAGACAGAAATAAAATTACATGAGATTGCAGTATTCATATAATCAATTTCATAAACTTGTTCAACTTTCTATTTTTTCTTTTTAATATTTAAAGTTAATTCTAAAAATAATATCAAAAGATAATTCATTAAATTTATTTTCAATGTGGGCATTCAATACTATTTTTAATACTAATACTGTTTTTTGAATTCTAAAGTAGATCAAAAGTTCATTTTATTACCATCGTTGAACAGTCAACCCAATTTTCAGGATTACGACTACTAATGTTCAACACTGTAGCCAGTCCAGAAGACAAGGGAACTCCTGAATCAAGTATTGGGAGAACTTTGCCTTCGTGGAGGACTTTTTGATGGAACTAACCCGCATTTGCTTTACATGGCAAACCTCCCACGGTTAGCCAGGCAGCAAAAGGACTCTAACCAATCATCCATCTACCTCTGAAGATATTTTACGTTAGCACTGTGGTCGGTGCAAGCCGGGTGCGGATTCATATCGATCAGCCATTGCTGGGATTCGAACACGGTTAAACTCATTGAAAGGAGAACATTCTATATCCTGAACCATCGCGGCTCAGACCAGAAGTTTTGAATACATTTCGTTAAAAATTTCATTATTAATAAGTCAGTAAAACTAGAGTTTTGCATTTTCGAAGGTTATGCATCATTGTAACAGCCACCTGATTCTCAAGGCACTTAACTGATTGGTAAATAGAGGTTTATTTACCAAATATCACACTAGTAGTAGCATCACACATACTTATGTAAAGAATTATTTTCTTCAAATAGAAGAACATATATTAGTTTCATTTAAAACATTTCTTTTTTAAAAATGACATAATAACTTGCTTTCAAAGAAATTTGTTGAAAAATAGTTTATACAACAAATTGTACTTTTTTGTCAAATTAGATAAATTAATAAGAAAATATCTTATAAATAATTTTCTTTAGTTGATATATTTTCCAAAACAGATGTTTTTAAATTACTAAAAGTATTGATCAAAACCATATTTCAATTAGATCTTTAAATTCATTAGATTAGATTTGTAAAAAGCAGGTAAGTAAACTTTTACAAATTGTATGGTGGTTTACAAATTCAACTCCTTTTTTGAAACGTCATGTATTAACATACCGACTCCAACTTCTTTTTCAGATTCTTCTGAACCATTATAAAATTTTACANATATATATATATAAACTATTAGCGTCAAAAACGCAGAATCCAAAAAGAATGCATTTTTCGTATTCTGTGTTATTTTTGATGAAGATTCTAATTTGTTCTGAAGGATCAAAATTATAGTTTGCCTGTTTTAGTGTCATTATTTGAGCTTCATTCATGCCTGTTTAGTTTATAAATCAAAAAAGATGTTTGAAAGAATGGAAAGATAATAAAAACATAAATAATAGCCCATTATTTAAAACTTAAGAAAATTTGGTATATATCTATCCATTGCAGAGGCTGTGAAAAAATGCCAAACTATTATTGATGCCAGTGGTGCTTTATTTATTAATTGTAATAAAATGTATTTGTGTTAAGTATACAAGATACTAATTAAGGTTCGAGATCTCTAAGGGCTTCGCAAAATGAATAAATGCTTAATTTACTACTTACTACAGAGGTGATTAGCTGGAGAAGCAAGGTAATAAGATGTGACTCATGTCTTACAAACCAGGTACATATGTTCAATTTTGACAGGTTAAGCTTTTGAAGGTATTCCATTAATATGGTGTTATATACCTCTTCATATAGCTAGAAAAGCCACGAATAAATCAATATTAGGTTAAGGGCAATAAAAACTAATAAATTGAAAATTAGGAACATTGAAACTAGAGCAGCCATGAAATAATCAATATTATGTTAAGAGGAATATAAAAATTCAATAAATTGAAAATTAGCAACAATGACTTAAAATGAATTAAAAAAAAGTGTTTCTAGGAAGTGTTTCTATTCAATTTGACATCAGCAGAATGGTATGGTCAGCTTTTTACTACTTCAACAATTTTAATTCTTATTATTTCTAATATAGTGATACAGCCTTGCAGTGGACTTAGGCTTACATAAAGACTTAGACCAATATATAAGACCTAAATTGATATTACTATTATTTTTCATGGGAAAGAATGGTTATACATAGTTTTTTTTTTAAAAAAAAGCAATAAAAATCGAACTTATCCTATCATTTTTTTTTTGCATCAAACTTTCTTCCAGTATTTTTCATAATTCAACACATCATTTAATAATTTCAAAAGATAAAAGTTCATTTAAAAATTTTAACGAAAAATAAACAACTATACTTAGCAATATATATAAATGTTAATTGAAAAAAATAACCTTAACCTTTAACCTTTAACTTATAACCTTTGTAACAACCAAACAAAATCATTTGTACTTGTTGTTGTATTTGTACTAAAATTCAGTTGGTTGTTGCAGTTGGATTGTATAAATATATTTACACAAAGAAGACAAACATATATCAATTAAACATGAGTTTTACTACAAATAAATCATTTAGAATGTGGATTTGATAAGCTTAAAATATTCATCATAAATAATTACAGACAAGAAAATCACAAATTGCAATATACTTAAAGAAAATTTAAATTTAAACTTCTTTTAATTGTTATCTAGAATAATCTGAAAAATACAACTGTTATTTTTAAGAAACATCCTTTTCACTGAACAAAACTTTGCTATTGTACAAGTAAAATTCATTTTTGAAACATCATATTTCAATCGAGGGAGTATTTTAAATATAAACAATGCTTTCATTACAATAAAAGCTTTTAGAGAAAATTTACAAATTTTTTAAATTACTTACACGATTGTCATTATCATCAGACAGATTTCTGTGAATAAGTATGAAATTAAAAATGGACAGTAATAAAGGAATAGGCGAGCCTTCCTTCAAAAGTGGAACAACATCTCCTTCCCATAAAACACTTCCTAAAGACACAAGAGTCTTACCATCACGTTTGTTACCACTTTCATAAGTGCTCAACAGAAGAGAACACGATCTAGGGGAAAAAATTATCTTAAAATACTTAATAATAAGACAATTAAATAATTTTTATTATTAAGAATGGAAAAAACAGCAAAAAACAACTATGCAATTAAATTATAATAATTCAAATCACATTTATGCAATTACTTGCAACCGTTTCTAAGGTTCCATGTTAAGCATTTGCCATCTCACCAAATGTGATAAAATCATAAATTCTGAGGAAAAAAAATGTGTTTTTGTGAATTGAAAAATGATTTTATCTATCGAAAAGAAATATACATATTCCCATCAACCCTAAAAAAAATCAAAGGAATTTTTCTGAAACAATCCAGTATTTTTTATTCGATTTGAGTAATTTTTGTTAGATATGTCACATAACTAATTAGAATTATATTAAGTCCAGCTAATGTAAGCTACAAGCAAGATTATGTAAGCATGAAACAAACAACCGTAAAATAGAGATTACTACGTTCACTGTTGGATCAGTCGATATCCCAAGATGAAAACTTCTTTTACAGTTTGTATATATATATATANATATTATCATCCAACTATTTTTTGCAAAAAATATGCCTCCTCGTGACAATAACATAAATAGTAACACAATATTGCCTATATTTATCCTTATATTACTGTTCTAGTCTAAGAAATTATCAAATAATTAACTCCAGCCTATTGCTGTTTCTTTTTCTTAAAGACAATAAAACATCCACATTTTCTATCCTCTCTCCCGTTAATTGCTCCTTCACTTTAACTCAACTGCAAAATGAATCTATATTTGAAATTGCATTTTATAAAATAATTCAATTTATAGTAAATGTGTATTTCTATTTGAAGTTTTTTATGTGGAAAAAAAACAAAAAATCATAACAAATTGCTAAGATTTGCCTTTGGCTAATCATTTTGAAATTTGGTTAGTTTTTTTATAATTAGTTAATTTACAGACTAATAAGCCCTTAACGGGAGGCCCAGCATTCCCATAAGTATCTAGCAGAAGAGAACAAGGTATGTATGTATCTAAATATGTAGAATACGCTTTAAAGAAAAATTCAATGAAAGTTTGTGGAGTTATAAATAAAGAATATACCAATTGCACCAACTCAATTATTGACAAATATTTAAACTCAAGAAAATATTTAAATTTAATTTGGTGTATAATATCAATTGTATTAGCTTAAAGTAGATTTAAAGTAATAATAGAATTTTAACTAAATTTAACTTAAAGTGTTTTATCAAGTTTAATAGTACTTAATTAGCATTTACTAGTATTTAATTGTTCATATTAGCCTAGTTTGGTTCATTTTAATTATTTCTACATGCTTGTCATTATTGCTGACTTTGAAATCTTTATGTTTTTAATTTGACTTTTCAACAACATTTTTACATGTAGCTGTATACAACTACATTTTTTAAAAATTAATATAAAAAAGAATAATGCTAACGCCATATGAATAATGATTAAAAAATTAATGTAACAAAAGTAATAAATAAATACTTAAAACTTAACAAATATTTATGCATTGATTTATTTGTTTAAACACACATTTATTGAATGAATTATTACTATTATAAGTTATTGTTTAGGTAAATTTAAGGAAATAATTAAATTGTTCTATTTATAAAGACTCATTTCCTTGGAAATTTGAATTTAGAGATGATTTAAAATGTAACATATAATTTGAAAAACATAATGGGTGGTCATAAGGGGTAAACATAATTATTTTTATTAAAAGTAAATGCAAAAAGAATTGAAGATAATAAGAATTAAAATTTACCAAGAACTTACTCGATTTGATCAAGAAGGTTCTTAAATACTTTAGAGTGCAAACAAGGTAGAAGAAAGTTATTGAACATATCTTTAACAGCTGAGCAAGGCATCCAATCATCACAAATTAGCTATTAAAATAACGAAAAAATAGATCATGTAAAGAAATATACAATACTAGGTCAGAAATCTGAAATAAGATAAAAATAATTTTTAAAATAGTAATTCAATACTCACTCCTTTATGAGATTTTTTATAGTACATTGAAACAAAATTCATTGCAGAGGCAAGAAGTGTCAATGCCCTCTGAAAAAAAACAGCAAAAGACTTTATAAAAAAGAAATTTGAATTGGACTTTATAAAAAAGAAAGATGTTTTTATTATTTTTTAAAATGCTAATTTAAAATAAAGTGTGAAAAGATAATTAATCAAATCAATATAAAGATTAAAAAATGTCAAAAATTAACTTTTAATATAAACTTTTTCATTATAATATTGCACCCCAAATTAAAGACAACTTAATTGAATTTTTATTTTTAAAAAAATTCTAACATTAAATAACTGAAATTATTAAGAAATTCACTTACATCTGTAGGCTTTTCTTGCTTCACTTGATAGAGCCATTTCTCTAAGCATACTAAAGCTTGGTTAAATATAATTCCCACTTCCTTTTTTCGGTGAAAACTAAAAATATTTTTTTGAATATAAACAAAGTTAATTTCAAATCTTTTTGGCTCTTTGTAAAAATGTTAAGTACTTCATAGTACACATATGGATCTAAAAGTTAAAAAGTTGTTTGTTCATATTTTACACTAAAAAAATAATAAAAGAAAATCTATAACTGTTTTGTTTTTAGATTTTAAGAGAGAACAGCATAATAAAAAGGAAGGCATAGGTAATAGCAAACTAATTCCATTAGTACAACCATGACATAAGTTTGATAATTTTCTATTCTTTAATTTTTCAATTTTGATAAAATTCTCACACATACTGATTTTACTTCTGAACATTAAATACATCTCTTAAGCAAGTTAATGCAAACATGATGTCTCAGTTTACTGAGCAATTGATAAAGACATAATTACAAGTTGAAAATGTTTAAAGATTGGTTCAATTTTGTACTTATACATTTACTAATTATAGATAGAATGACTTTCCATAGCTTTTCTCATTCCATCATATTCTCATCCTTTGCTTTCCCTCCCCCTTAAAAAAGAGTAAAGACTAATTTGAAATTATGAATTTTTTACTAACCCAGGAAAGCAGTTGAATTTTATTTTATTGAAAAAATGGTTATTTTTTTCTATGATCAAATTGAAGCTGCAAAACTAGTCAATGATCTAAGAGAACATATATATAAAATACAAAGATCTTTTATCAACTTATGAAAAACTATATGAAGATAACAATGAGCAAAGTGAATTTTTTCTCGGGACTTTTTTATAAGAAAAATAGTTCCAAGCACCCAAAAAATTATTTCAAAGTTTACACAAACAGTTTGTTGAGAAAAAAATTGGGCTTTTAGGTAACTCAAACAAAAATTAAATCCTTTTCCTTCATTTTCGGATGTTTGCATTAAATTTCCAACTTATACTTGACTTATCACTGCACTCTTCAATTTTTCCATTATGAGGTCACTGTGATATTACAGGTTATAGAAAATAAAGAAAAAAACTTAAAGTTATACATAGCACTTATAAATATAAAACTAAAAAAATGAAATTACCAATCAGATTGTTCTGTAATAATGATTGTAATGGCTTCAAACATTTTGAAAAGGTGAGAGGCATATTCAAAGTCTTGACAATGCTCTTTTTCATTCGAATTTAAATTTAGACTTAGACAAAACTTCATTTGTCTCAGAAAAATTGAGTATAAATCACTGCAAAACAAGAAATTACTATAGCAATCATGCAATATTTCGAAAAAATATATGTACAACAAAAAATTAATGATATGATATGTCTTTAGAATACATATGAATATTTTTCTCATATAATTCAAATAATATTTTAAAGATAGTTTTTTTCAAAGAAATTAGTCAATTTTTTCAGATAAAATTAATCATTTCAAGTTAATTGAATATAAACACGCATTTAATTACATTTCAAAACTCAACATATAAATTTAATTTTAACATTTAAATAAAATCTTACAAATAGACTTGAAACCCATATCCATAGCGAAGTAATGTGTGTAAAGTTTTTAGAGTCTCAATCATAACATTTTGCACCTCCAAAGAAGCCATTTTTCCATCACTAAAGAAAAAGAATAAAAAACTTAAAAAATGAAAAATAAAAAAGAAACTTTCATAATGATTTTACCCAATAATAATACACAATAGGCTGTTTATACTTTAAGAATTATTAGAAAACTAATGAATAAATGATTAATTTAATTCTAATTAATTCAAAAAAATCTGTTTAACTCACAAAATAATGTAAAATATCAAAATAATTACTTACTTAGGAGAAAGAGAAAGATATAAAGTCAAGATTTTCTCTAGCTCATATTTTTCTATCTAAAATAAATAAATAATAAATATATTTACCAGAAATTTAAATTTAAGACAATATCTGATATGCAGTGAATTAACATACTAAATATGAAGCATTAACTTTGCTAGCTGAAGATAGAATTCTCATAAGTTTCATAGCTGACGACATAGGGCAACAATAATTAGCTGAATCAGTGAGCTTGCTTCCATCTAAAATAAATAAAACTTCAACATTGAAATCAAAATTGTTCAATCAAACTTATCCAATTCTTAGAACAACCATAGGTGTATCATGAAAACAGTACCACAAACACTCATTTTAGTGCTTTCAATCATAAAAGTTTATTTTTAATTTCAATTATATCAAAGTGAAATGAAATAGATGTGAAAGGTGAAAAAAAAGAAGAAATAAATTTAGTTCCAAATCAAATTGTTTAACATCTTTAGTTAAAAATAAAAAAAATGGAATAATTCTGATTTCAACTATACTTTATCTTATTTATATCTTACCTATAAAGTGCCAGGAAAGAGGTAAAAATTTTTGAAAGATCAACTTCATCAAAGGTTGATATAAGGCAACCTAAAATATTAAATATAATTAAGTAACACTCTTCAAAAAAGCATAATTATGTTCAACACAATGGTTCATTTTTAAATTAATCAAAATAAAAGACCATGCATTCAAATATTTAACAGTCTTGAACAAAAATACAAGTTATAGGTATTGTGATGGCATGGGAAATAATTTTACAGTTTTTATAAGTCGAAAAATAGTTTCCTAGAGTATTCATTTATTTATTTTTTGAACAAAACACATCAAAACCTCATACACTCAAAAACTAGACTCAACTCCTTTTTGATAGTGCTAAAGTGAGGGAAACAATAAATCTTTATACATCTAGAATCAGAATTAAACTCTTTTTGACGAAACTGTAAATAACGTAAGAATATTTATGTCAATTTCAAATGTCATGGAAAATTGCACAGGTTGAAATTATACATGAAGAAGCATGTTTTAAAATAAAACTTTAGGTAAATAAAGTACTATTGAATACATACAAAAAATGTTACTATTTGAACGCACACAAAATATGTACTAAGTTTAGAAAATACAAGTTAGAAACTTAACTCTTTTGTAAATAACAAGTTTTTGAAAATACTTAATATTTCTCAAAATTTAATGACATTGGTAGTTTCATAAGCCAAATTACACCTTTTTTTTATCGTTTAGAATAAATTTGAGCATTTTCTAAAGACCCAAAGAATAATTTTTAACTTTTTTACCACAATTGTTGGAAATTTTATTTCGATTCAAATAACATCATGAGCTAGCATTTTAGGCACATCAAATTTTTCATGGTATTTTAGATCAAATAGAAATTCTGTCTCCATAGAGATTGCAAAGTAATGATTCAAAACCTCCTTTTAAGAGTATATAATAAAAAATATCCATTACAGCTTGCTTGTAAGTTAATATAAACAATAGAATAAAGAGGTACAAAAACCACATACTCCACAAAACAAGGCAAATATTTTTGTTTACAAGCAAAGATAGTATGAAAGTTGCAAGGGTCTGTCTAGGTTTTCTATTTGTGGTATCTATTTTGTGAAAATTTAGACATAATTTGTGAAAAATTAAAAATTATTTTAAAAAATCAACACAAAAATATGTTAAAAATATGGATTTATCGTTTCTTAAGGGATGCAAATATAAAATTTTAAGAAGAAGTATTTTGTGAAACTACCATTTTTCCTGAAGTTGAATTTGTGAAACTACCGTTTTTCCTAAAGTTGAATTTGTGAAGGTACCGCTAAACGGTAGTAAATTCGGCCTATACAGACCCCTGAGTTGTGATCATATATTTAACTACATAGAATAATACAGATAGAATGAACAAAGAAATGTCAAAAATTTAAATTGTATCACTCACAAAATGAAAAGAATAAATAAATAGGGAATCCTAGAATGCAACCTAAATCTTTTTACTCCTGGGTCATACCCACTTCAATTATTTTTGAAAGAATTCCCATCAATTGTACAGAAATTTTACCACCATTTTAAAAAGTGATCTCAGGGATCTGCCGATTTTTGAATTTAGCCAGGGAAATTTCTATTATTTAATAATTCAAGGAAGTAAGTATGCTTGCAAAATTTATAAATAATTGTATTTTAAACAGATATTGTTGCTAGAACCAGAAATCCAAACAGAAATAAAATTTAAATTTTCAGAAAAATTTACTGATTTAATTTACTTAAATGTTATTCCTCAACCCTAGTTGGGGATACTTTTTTTACCTATTTTTGTAAGGATTTTAAAACTTTTAATTGTAATAAAAAAAAAATTTTTGTTTCTTCATTGATTATACTTTTTTACAAATTTGACCAATAGAAAAATTTGTCTCAGGGATCTGCAGATTTTTGAATTTAGCCAGGGAAATTTCTACTAATTTCTACTATTTTATAATTCAAGGAAGTAAGTACACTTGCAAAATATTTACAAATAATTGTATTTTAAGCAGATATTGTTGCTAGAACCAGAAATATAACTAGAAATAAAATTTTAATTTTCAGAAAAATTGAAAACATTAAAAGTTGTGTACTAAAGTGGTAGATAAAATAGCAAATGATTATAATAAGTAGTGGTAGAAATAATATATTTCCACATATTTCTTAAAATAGCAAATGAAATTATGTGAGAAAATGTAATTGAAATCAAAACAGGCAAAAATCAAATGGCAAAACCAATCAAAAATGGATTATTTTGAAGACATATCATCAATATTTGACTTTAAATTTTTAACTGAAAAACATTGAACTAACCAAGAATTTTTTTAGACTTTTACGACAATGATAAAATCATTTAATAAATCATTGTTGTACATAATATTTATTTACCTGATCAGAGGATTCCTTTGAATGTTGAGCAAGGTGACCACAAATTTCCATTACTAGTTTACAAACTAATGGTGGTGGTGGTAACTCTTGAAGAATATAATAAAATCTAGGAAGAATATCCATTCGAAGAAATCCCTAATAATAACAGACAATATAATTGACAGATAAGAACATACAATATAAATTAAATAAAAAATAACAATAAAAAAAAATGTTAAGTAGTATGATGAAACTGCTATCCATGAAATGAGTTTAGGGGTATTAATGGAAAGAATCCCAAGAAACAATTATGCTAACCAAACCAACAATATAATTGAAATTACAAGATGAAAAAATAAGGAGAAATATTATATAATTAGGGCTGCAAGTTTGTCGCGGAAAAAAAGACCCCAAATTTGCGGAAAAATCGCGGGAAATTTTGAAAATTACACAAATTCTAAACATAAGAAAATTTATTATATAAATGATGCATAAGACAGAAATTGCTCAAATAATAAAAAAAGCTTAAAAATACACAACAAAAGTATTTCTTTGAATTTCAAGCAAATATTAATATTTTTATTTAAATGAAAAGAATTTTGGTACAAAGTATTGTACATTGTCAGATTATTCTCATTTATCCTTCGTCTTTCATCACTTAATACATTTTTATACTTAGAAAACGATCTTTCTACGCCAACACTATTTTTAGGCACCAACAAACTTCGAATTGCCACTTTCGCCAATTTTGGAGCGTTCGGTCTTTGATTTCCAAAACTCGATCAATTTTCCTTCACCAACTCGCAATTCCTTGACCGTTGCTTTGTAAGAAGTAATTGCTGTGAAAACTCAAACATTTTACATTCAAACTACTAGTTACAAGTCCCTACTAACTACTAGTCCCCCCCCCTTCGTCTAAGAAACTGATTTATATTTAAGAAATCACAAGAAGCCGCCTAGGAAAAATTAATTGGATATTTGGAAAGGCAGTAGAAATTTCATTGCCCAGTGCAATAGCATGTATAACAATTTTTCTGTCAAAGATTTGATTTATAACATTTTCCTTCTTTTGTGATTCCAATTTCTTTTGTACTCTTACTGACTTCAGGAAGGTAATTACCCTCCTTAAGTATAGAAAAACCACCTTAGTTGACAAGATTGTGATTATCTCTTATCTCTGAACTATTTTCATGTCATTTTGCTGTTGATTCACTCCCCTAAATATCTAATCAATTTTACATGTTCAATTTAAGGTTCAGGAAAATAAAAAATTCTGGTTAATAAAAATAATTAATAAAAAATGAAAAAAAATCAAATTTTAAGCAATTTTCGTGCAGGTCAAGACATATTGAGAAATTCGCGGATTTTAGGAAAAAAGATGACAATTTCTTGGAAATTGGCGCCGCGACAAACCTGCAGCCCTAACTATAATTAATTTAAGAATTACACACAAAACTTAAAATAAAATATTTTTTGTAATAATGTTACAAAATTGCTACCAGTAAAATCAATGAAAATAAAAGTTTTAATGGAAATAATTACGCAACTCATGCTCTGGAAATCAAAGAGAGCTATGATTCAGACCTGCCAACCTTACAAAATAAAAATAAAAAGGAGACTCTTTCTTTATCACGACATAGCGCAATATTGAAAATTAAACCTGATTCACATTTCCTACAAGAAGTTTATTTCAAAATATATTATTTACGTTACATAAAATAGACCACAATAAGATTCTGACACTGACTAATAAAGATATGTGTTCTTACTATAAAATATAAGGTTCTATAGAATTATATTAAAACACATCTTGATTTTTTAAAATTTAGGAAGAGGTTCAAAATTAGCAAAATATGTCAATAATGAATANTATTTCTTCTTATTTTTTTTAAAACTGCTACTGTTTTAAAACTGCAGATGTTGCTGATGTAGCATTATTTAAAAAAACTGCCATCTATAGAAAGTGAAAAAACATTTTGCCTAATGGTATCCAAGATATATTTCCTCTCAAATTTTGCCATTTCATTTGTTATTGCTGTTGTTTTGGTTCGCGCACACCCATAATTTTTAGCGATGTTGCTATAGGGGAACATTTTTCTAAATAAATGCCTAGCATGATCTGAAGCACAAGTTGGGAGGTTATGCCCTATGATAAAAGCAGTAAAAAGGATTCGGCACGAATAACAGAAAAATCATCGTTTCTTTTACTTTTTTTGAAAAATTATTTTTTTGATTTGCTTTGAGAAATTTAGAAGCAGTTTGATGCTTTTCACGATTGATGTGGGCAACAATATCACTTGTAATAGAAAAATCTGTTTGGCACGCATAGCTTAATGCAAACGTATCTCCTTTCCTTGAACTTAGGATACAAGAAAAATCATCAGAATATTTTTTGTTAAAAGCTGTCTGCTACTTTTTTTTTATGTTAGTCAGACATTACTGCTTGCAACCCTCCCTCTTCCACTCTACGTCACACGATGCCATGGTATCATGATAATCACGAATCATGATATCATACAACGTGAAGAGGCAAAGGAAAAACGGGGGTGTATCCTAAGTGCGGATGATCGCTTGTTCTTTTTCCTCTATCGTGCACTAAATAGAAAAAAGCAGGAGAAAACACCCTGAAGGTGAAGATTTGAGGCAAAAGCAGTCTGTTATGATTGAAAAAAAAAACACACACACACTATTCAACCGTATAAAAATTTTGATATTGACTACAAAAATGATAAAGTGGAACTATTTACTCAATAATTGCAGAGAAATATTTAAATTCAAGAAATCAGACCACATACATCAACAACTTTCACCTTTCAAATTCATGATAATTATATTGATGATGTATAATGTACTTGATCCAACTCAAATCATGATAGAACTTGGTAACCATGAAAGAAATAATACTTATTATTGAAAAGAAAAAATAAGAATTTGTTACTTACTTTAATAACATCCAACTTAATCAAGTCTGCATCAGTTAACTCTTCCATAACAATATTTGTTTCTTCTAAATCAGTAGGTTCCAAGTGAGGCAAAAGACTTCCATTTAACCAACAAAATGTTTTCATAAGACAAGCCTATATTTTAAAATGAAGTGAAGTGATTAAAATGCTTTATACAGGATAACATTATGCTTGACATTCTTACCTCTCAGAGATGAATGATATTATAATTAATTTATAATTATATTGACTTATTTAAATAATGCTAAATTTTTCTGAGTCCCAATTTATTTCCAAATACATTCAACAATTTTTATGGCGGTTTCTTATGTTTGATTTTATTTTATATTAAATAGTTCTTAAGACATTGAACACAGCTGTAATCTTTTCAATTAAGATTCGTAAACATGAAAAACAGTTTATTGTTCTAAGACAATACAAATGCAAAACATATTTTTCAAAATAAATTGTTCATGTTAAATGTAATTTGTAAAATAAAATTTAAAATATATATATAGATATATTAGAAAGACATAAGTCAGTATTCATTACTTAATATACTTGATATTTAAAATAATTAAGGGAAAAACAGTTTTATTTAGTCACATAAAGGATATTAACAACAAACTACATTTTGTCGCTAGCATATGTACCCGTCTTCTGCAGGCGTCGTACATAGAACAAAACCTCCCCCGTAACATCTACTACACATTCCAGTTGTTTAAAATTATTTCCACAGCCTTGACACATCACTGCGGCTGATGTCGAACTCCTTGACAACGTTTGTTATTTTTTGGCTTCTCCAATCTTTCCGATAATACGACTGCTCGTAAAAACATCTAGAAGTATACTTCCTGCGGCCTTATAAAGGATTGACAGATGGTTGTTTACTAAAAGGAATTTAAAATAATTCCCCACTGTAGTACTTTATGATGAAAGTTAAGCAAAGAGACATTTTCTTAGACTTACAAGAACAAGTTATAGTAAATGGAATCTAGAAAGTATAAAAATTTGATGGGTTCCCAATCATTATGATTCCTTAACCTAAAAACAATAGTTAATATTTTCCCTCGAAGGAATACAAATTATATAGTTTTTTAACTGTAGCAGACTAACATTTAAACTAATGTCATGATAAAAAAGAAGATATATATACTTCATCAGGTTTACTAATCAAAAGGCTGTGAATTGCTGTAATAGTAGCAGCAACAGATGTCACAGTGACATCATCTAAAGCCCATCGTAGCAATGGAACAATTCCAGCATCCAAGAGGGTGGGAAGAAGTGGGTTGTCAAAACAGCTATCAAACATTCCATACCAATACTAAAGATTAAATACAAATAGCATTAACTAATAACTAAAAAACAAAATAATAAGTAATTCAAAATATTGCAAATAAATCATAACAAATAAAGCAACATAATGATATTACTATGAACATCTATTAAGGGTTATTTTTAATGCAAGGAATTTTTCATAAAAAAAGCACAAGTCTAACCACCAAAGAGTCCCGACTTACAAATTTGATATTTTTACTATAAATGAAAAAGTAACTGCAAACAGATGAATTTTAATCTGTGACTGCAGTAAGACAATAACATTAGAGTACTTTATTTATTTATTAGAAATTTTTGAATTAAGAATTCAAATTTTATTAAAATTGCAGATTAGAACTAACTTCAAAATCTGTGACTAATTAAATAATAATAATAAAACAACAAATATTCAAACAATACTTACATTACAAAAATTGATCAATATACATAAAGGAAAAAAAAAAGAAATACATAAAAGAACAACTTGTTTGTTTATAGTTTTTAAACCATATTATAAGACAAATCAAAAAAAAATTTCCACTAAATTTGTTTTCTTTTTTAATAAATAGATATCAGAGTTGGCCGTTGATTACAGTAATCGATTACAACTGTAATTGATNAAAAAAAAAGAAATACATAAAAGAACAACTTGTTTGTTTATAGTTTTTAAACCATATTATAAGACAAATCACACAAAAAATTTCCACTAAATTTGTTTTCTTTTTTAATAAATAGATATGTGTTTACTTAATTAATGTATGTTTAAACTTTTACTTAAGAAGAAAAAGAAAAAAAATCACTTAAATACAAACTTAACACTTAAGTTGCAGTAGTTGTTGTAATTAATTTACGTCGCACTAGAGCTGCACGATGGGCTATTGGCGCTTAACACTTAAAATAAATAATCATTTACACAAATATTAATTAGTTTAATTGATATTTGTTAAAAAAAAATTTCAAGGAGCAAAATAATACAAATAATTGAAACAGATATTAATTAAATAAGTATGTTAATTAAATAAATACAAATATTAAATAAATAAGTAAAAAATTGATAAATTGAAAAATATATTATAGATGCTTCCATTTAAATATTAATTGTATCAATTCAAAAATTGAAATTATCTTACATTATCTAGAATGTGAGCTAAAGTATGAAAGGCTGTTATTCTTTGTGACTGCAAAGAACTTCTAGCTAATAAAAATAGTTCTTCCAATGAATACCCAGCAATCTGTATCAAATAAAGATAAAATACACATTTTTTAATTATTAAGAAGCAAAATTATCTAATTAAAACTTCATGTTTCAAAATAAAACAAAATAACTTTTTCAAAAAAAAATTCATTCTAATTTGGAGATCAAGAAATAAATTTTAAAAATATATAAGATGAAAAAATTTACAGTAATAAAATGAAAAGCAAGTGGGTCTCTTTTACAATTCCAGAACTGTTTGTCACATTGTCCTGAAATTTGGCCAGTTTTAAACCCTGGTCTGAGTTTTTTAAAAATTGTACAAAAACTTAAATTATATCCTTCAGGAGAGATATTTAAAAAATTGGAATTTTTTTATTACTTTTCATTGTGACCATGCAAACTAGCCATTGTTTTAAATTAAACTACAGATGATTCTAATTCATCATTCTAAAATATAACATCAGTGACTTCTGTTAGCTTATAACTCTCATTAATAAAAAAGGATTATTCTGCAAACGTAAAAATTAAATTAAAGCCGACAGTTTCTGTTAAACACAAATTTCACATTTACATACCTCAGGTTCTTTTCCATGATGATGCAGTCCTTTGTGTACAGGTATATCTGTATCATAAGCCAACAATTTGCCCATAAAATCAAATCGAGCTGTATAACCAGTCTAATGGACAAGCAAATGAATAATAGTCTATTATAGTCATAAATTTAAAGAAAACACCATGTAAGAAAAGAAAAACATTTTTCAACGCGCCATTTTATAATATTCTTCAGGAATTTTTTCTTATTTGCAATTTATTGTATGAAAAAAGAAATTTAATTTTAAAATTGTGAAGCCTTCTCTTTAGGAAATATTTTTGGATGCACAAATGCACAATTTGCATCTTAAAAAAAAAGAAGAAAAAAAAACACACACTATATGTTTACGTTATGGCCATCTATTTTCAAGAACAACATTTTGAAACAAAGTAACAATGAGTTCAAATAACTTTCCTTTGTATTACCCTTTTAGCACAAGGAAACAATTTTTTATTAAAATATTTCTTACAGTTTTATAATTACTTTTAAAATATTATAAGTTTCAGATTAACTATAAGAAAAACTTTAACAAGCTTAAAATTGTAAATTTAATGATATATGTACGTAAAAAAAATTTGTCTTATAAACCAATTGAAAAAACAAAAAATTACGCATATCTCTTTGCATGAGAGAGCATAACAGTATGTTTTTGAAATGTTAAAGCCTTTTAAAGTTTCAGTGCTTTGAAAACACTGAAATATTACAAGGCATCCCCAATAATTTTTTTTGCATAAGGTTTTATATAATAAAAAGAATAATTTTGCAAAACGTATAATTTTAGCAACAATGAATGATTCTGAAAACTTGAATTAAATATAATGCTTGTTTACTTACTGAGGTGTGAAATAGAAGCTTCTAACTAAAATAATAACTATAATACGGTTATCCTAATTGATGTAAGAGTCAAAATTGTTGAGATTGCAAAATTGCAGAGCAAAAGAACTGTAGATATGGGCAATATAGGGATTTTTTCAAGAGCTTTTCAAAAAATTAGTTATAACTTTCTCCAATTTTGTTTAAAGGTATCTTAGAACCACTTTTGTATTTTCTGTTACAGATGTTCTAAGTTAGAAGAAATGGCTTGGAACTTTACTATAAAATTTAATGATCAATTTATTTATTTATTTATTTTTTTGATAATAAATAAAAATAACGGAAAAAAAACAAAGCATTTTACATGATTTATTTCTTAATATGATTGTGATAAGAATTAAAACAAATATTTATAAAAGAGCAACAAATTTCAAAATCAATAGTATAAGAATTAGATAGAATAAAAGATTAAGCAACAATTAGTGACATTAGAATATGCTATTATCTGGATTATATATTCACACCATTTTAATAGCATACACTGATAGTTATATTTAGTTAATATAAAGTTATACAGAGGGAATTATACTTGTGTGATTAAACATTTACATATTATGATTCAAATTAATGTCAAAAATCAAACATCATGAATCATATTAACATGCTTTAAAAATCAAATATTGTGACTCATATTCAAGATGATATTTATTCAGTTATATTCAAACATTAAAATTATTGTATTAAAATTTCATGAAATAAGATTAAAAAGAAATATATCATTTTCATTCTCATTTATAAAAATAGTAATTAGAATTTATAATTTTCTAAATTCAGAATAAACAAATACTTTGCATATACTTTTTTCCTAATAAAAATTTAAGTATTTTTTCATAAAGCCACAATCACCAATGGATGAATTTATTTTTTAATTTATTAAAAAAAAAAAAAAATTCCGCCTTGGTTTATTTTTATAATTCACGTTATATACAAGGAATATTATGACTTTGTAGATAATTTTTGGATTATGTACGCTGATAATTAATTTTATTTTTGCTTTACTCTGAATGGAAAAATAAAAAATCTCTTTAAAAACTATATTGATCAAAGTGAAGTGAAGAATACAAAAAAAGTTTTAGAAATATTTAACTAATGAAGAAATAACTACATGTCAGTAAAACTGAACTTCTAATATATTTTTATAAATAAACATGTAAATTGTGATGTATAAAATTAGTACTGTCCACGCAATAATAAAAATTTTTTAAATCTTTTCTGCAAATCAGAAACATTCATAAAACAGTGAAAGAATTTCAAAACATTATGCTGTGAGCATCATTAATACAATGACAATGGGCATCATTATTTTTATAATAAAGAGCATCTCAAAAAAATGAAAGCATATACCTTTACATCCAAAGGATTTGGTTTAGGTAAATCAGAAATCCATTCCAGTTTTTCTTTTTCAATTTTATTCATATTTTTCCACTTGCCTTTGTTACTTTCAGCTAATATTTTTTGAGTCGCTTCAGGTATTTCTAAAAGAGAAAAAAAAAAGAAAGGGATTTTAAGTATTTTTAATAATTAGTTTTATGAAGTTTTTTGTATTTTCATTACACTAATGTGTTTAAAAAACATAAAAAATTAAAAATTGTTTAAGAAAAAGGTTAGACTTTTAAAACTGTTATCACTATTCAGGCAGTTTCGTTATGATTATTGCAAGTAAAATTTGGTATTTCAAACTTTGTTAAGAAATATAACGGAAATAAGAAATCCAAAATATATCTCATATATTGTAAAGATCGTGCATGCAGTTTAGAGTAACTATGAAAGCTTATGTTTCAGGCAAGTGTTTTTATATTATTATTTTTCTATGATGACTATTTAAAGACTGTTGATCAAAACATTCTTATTATCATATCTTTAAAAGAAGTAAACACTTGATGATTTGTATCCTCAAGACTTAAAAAATGGCTACAGTAGAGTCATTGCTACATTAATTTTTTTTTTTTTTAAATTTTAACATACAGATTTCATTATTAAAAAATATGTAATATTATTTAAAAATATTATAACAGATTTTATAATTATTAAAATTAGAACTTTATGTTATAGGTAAAATAATTCATTTTGTAGTTCAATTACACGTCATCAAGAAATTAACTTCAATTCTATGTGCTATTTTTCCACTTATTCGCAAAATTTCAAGTTTTTTATTGCCAGACAACCATTTATACTTTACAATTCTGAAATTGCTTAAATTTAAAATTATTCACTAGGGGACCATCCACAAATTATTCAAAGTGAATGGAGTATCTTATCTATTACTCGATATGATGTTTCTGAATTTTAATGGCTCTTGAGAGATATTATATGATGCAAAAATATTTCAAAAATTGGAGATGATAAACCTATTTACTATTTTTAAAAGATGAAATCAAATTTTAAGTTGTTTCAAAAATTTGACTTCCTCCCGTTAGTCAGTTTATTAAAAATGACTTTTATTGAAATAATAATTTCAACAATTCAATGTTTTAAAAGATAAAATCAAATTTTAAGTTGTTTCAAAAATTTGACTTGTTCCCTTTAGTCAGTTTATTAAAAATTACTCTTATTGAAATAACAATTTTAACAATTCAATGTTTTAAAAGATGAAATCAAATTTCAAGTTGTTTCAAAAATTTGACTTGTTCCCTTTAGTCAGTTTATTAAAAATGACTTTTATTGAAATAGCAATTTTAACAATGTATAAAGAAATTTTTAAAATAGCAAACTAAAGTGTCATTCAAAAATTGATTATTATATTTTTTTTAAAAATATATGTTTATTTACACTTAAAACTTTTAACCCTATTTTATTATTTACTATTTTTAGAAGATGAAATCAAATCTTTATGATGTAAATTTTTAATTAATTGTAAAATTTGAATTGTTCTCTTTGTTTAGTTCATACAAAAATATTTTTTTTTATTTATTTTTATGTTTGTTTGCACTCAAAATTTGCCAAACTCTTCAAAAGTATTAAACAAAATTGCAAGTGTTAAATCTTAAGATTTGCTCTTAACACAAAGTTAATTTAATTGAGATTTTAATAAGTAATAAGACTTTTAAGCAACTAACACAAGAATCTGATAATTTGAAGTAAATTAACTCAAAATGTTTACATTGGCTATTTTCAAAATGTTTATATTAACTTTTTAACAAAATGTTTACATTAACTATTTTAAAAATCCTTAAAGATTTTTGAAATTCATGTAAATGAATTTTCAGCACAAAGACATAAGGGAAAAAGAAGAAAAAATAACTCCACAAATCCTGAAGTGAAGAAAATCTAAAGTCTAATATAAATCTTTTTGTGAAGAAAATCTAAAAGATTTTTTCTTAAACTTTTTTAAAGTGAAAAAAAAACAGTTTATTTAAAATTATTTTACTTACTTTTATGCTTATTTAAATGCAAAACTAGTGAAACACTTTTAAAAGTATTAGACAAAACTCAAATTATAAAATTTGCTTATAGTAAGAAATAATACAGATTGAGATTTTTAACAAGTAATAACATTTTTAAGCAACTAACACTAGACTTAAAGTAAAGTAATTTAAAGTGAATAAACTTAAAATGTTTAGATTAACTATTTTTCAAAATGTTTGAATCAACTATTTTTCATAATGTTTATTTTAACTACTAAAAAACCTTAAGCGTTTTAACATAAATTTTCACAGTTTTCATTATGGCAATCTGAAGGAATTTTCCTTAAGCTTTTTCAAAGGAAAAAAAAACTTAACAAAGCCTTTACTTTTATTTAATAAAAAACAGCAGAATTTTAAACCAAAATGCTTAAGGATTTTTATAGTTCTTTGAATTTTTTTTAGAGTTTTTTTTTCAAATTTTGTGCAGATTTTTAATTGGGAAGTACAGTGGAACCTGTAAAAGTGACCACCTGGGTAAAGTGAGCACCTGAGTAAGGTGACCATTTTCTGCAAGTTTTATTTAAGGAGTCCTTCTTAAAGAGACTTCATAAAGTGACCACCTCTATATAGTAACCATTTGACTTGGTTCCGAGGGTGGTCAATTTAGACGGGTTAAATCTTAAGTTTAATTATATTAATAAAATTAGCTAGAAAAATAGACAAATGTTACTCAGAAAACAGACTTTCTATTGAATTACTCATATTATTATTTACAGCTAAGTAATTTGCAAGTTGGAAAAAAAAGGTACCAGGTATAGATAATACTTTTACTGAAATAATATAACAAAATGTAAAACAAAACAAAAACTCGTTAATCGTAATACAAACCAATATTTTTATTTTTAAAGTTTTCAATTATGCCAGAGCTTTCAGGTATAGCAGTATGTCTCAAAGTTTGTTCCAAAATTAGACCATCACATTCAGCATTTCCTTCTTTTCTTAGGACTTTATCACAGTTCACATCATGACCGGAAGTAGACTGTTGTACAAAAAACTTTTTCAAATCAGGTGTTGAGTTTAAAGTGCCACTGTGCCCTTAAAAAATATAAAGTTTATTCAAAATGTACATTTTAAAATATAAATACAAATATACATATGTACACAACATAGTTGAACTCAGATATATGCTAGTTACAGGGTAAATTAAAAATAGTAGTTTATTTGAAATTTGTAAATAAATGACCAAGCAGAATATATTAATACAAATTTAATGGTTGTTGAAACATTATAAAACTAATTTTCATTTCACTGAATTCACAGCTAAATGCAGTGATGTGTTTTTTTTTAATTCCCTTAAACAATTTTATATTTAAAAGCAGCACAGCATTACAGTTTAAAATTTTTCAAGTTGTTTTGAACAATAATTTTTGCAATATTTACAATAAAATGTGAATTACTATTTTTTTTAATGTAGAAATTCTTTTTATTAAAATTGCAGAAATAAATGAAAAATCCTTCACTTTTATACAAAACTTAACTTTTAAATGAAGTCCAGAGCAATTTCGTGAAAAATTAAATTCAATATAAGCATATTATGCAAGGCAGTACATAAATGTATCATCATCAAAAGTGTCAGGAAATATAAGAATGATCTTCTAAAAACGCTTAGTGCAACATTACGTATAGCAGCGAAAGATATCTATGCTTTGAAACATTTACAAAATCAGAAAAATCCTTCAACAGTTTCGCAATCAATACAGATGTAAGGATAAAAATGAAAACAATTATGGAGAAAATGTAGCTCAAAATAAATTTAGTTTTACTATAATACAAATCCTGAATTATGTCATGCAATTGAACCAACAAAAACCGTATGTGCCCAAGAGAAAAGCATATCAATTGATCTGATCGAAGGTGAGAATTTCCAGAAAATGTCTCATAAGCAGAACCAAACTAAATGATTGCTGCAGCAACTACTGCAAATGTTTTCAAAATTGTTATACTTTGGCCTTTCATTTTAGTTCCTTAATTTTTTGAAGCATTAATCATCTATACATCTGTGTGTGCATAAAACACATTGAAAGTTATTAAAATAATCATAATTTTTAAAAAATAGCCAACCGTAGAAAAAAAGATTTAACTGAACAACATTTGAAATATAAGGCTTATACTGTAGCAACTTACCTTCAGAAATATTACTCTTGTGTTTCCCCTTATTTTGAAGAAATTTCAGTAGTTTTGGATCTTTTAAAAAAAAAAAAAAAAAAAAAAAATCTTGTAGATTCCTNAAAAAAAAAAAAACATTTTAATACTTATAGCAACAGTTCCCAATTTTCATACATGTAATCAATAAAAGAAATTTAAAAAAATATGCATTAGAACTCTAACCATATTGAGTTTTAATTTGTTCCACTTTTCTCTTTATTTCTTCGGGTGACATAGCTGATATTATTCCCTGGTTCTCTTTATCAACTTCCATTTTGATGGCTTTAACATCAACTGTATTATCTGTTGTACTATCTAAGATAAAAATTAAATTAAATACACAAATGGGCCTAATAAATATGTATTGATATATTTTTAGCAGCATTTAAAAAATTGTGCATATTAAAGACCAGTTTCATTTTTTTGAATATATCACAATCTAAATTATTCTGTCTCCAAGCTCTTACAACCAATATGTTGTTCCAACTGTTCCACCTGTTATTCCATTTTGCAGAAGGATTTCATATTAAAAAGCACACAAAAAATGAAAACAACAAGATACATTTTTTTGAAAACAATAAATATGCTTTTAATCCATTTATTTATAAAAAAGATTGAATTTAGTAGCCAATATTTATAAGTAATAACACATGGGCTGGCTCAACACTATATTTTAATATTTATTATTACTATTCTTTTTTTTAAAAAAGAATGTGGACGTTAACAATTTTAAAAAATAATTAATTGTTTTATAAAGTAAGGGGCCACAGCAGAAGAATAAAAAAAAACCCAGATTCACATTATTCTCATGAAAACTAATTATAAAATACCCTAAGTTAGAAAACAACTATTAGAATTAAAAACTTCTGACAATTTTGATGTTGAAAACAAAATGGTTTTTAAGAAAATATAATGGTTGATCAACTTCCAACACAACATTTATGACAGCATTTTTTTGTTGAAAGAATATTTCATAGAGCAACACTGTTGGAATAGCTTGCGTAATAATTTATTTATGATCGATTCATAGTGAACTTTACTTTATAAACTTTAAAATAAACTAATTGTTACCTACTTAAAAACATAATATTTAGAAGAAAAATTAACAAACTTGGTCATGAATTGTGAAAATATAAAACAACACTTTCAAACTTTATCTATTAATAAAAATTTTAATCAGACATAACTTCATTTATTTTAAAATACGTATAAGTAATAAGCAATTAAAAAAGTTCCACTAATTATATTTCTTATAATGCAACATTAATCTTATCAACATCTTATAAACATTAATCATGATTATTATAAAAATACTGTAGAATGAATTACTTTCAGTTTTTTAATGTACAATTATTCTTATGAATAAAACTGTGCTAACTACGAAAAAAAGGGAAGATTTCCATATCAATAACTGCATCAAAATAATCACTTTATTTTCGCAGCAACTGGATAATGGCACACAAGAAACTAAAAGGAACTTTGCAGGAAAAAATAAGACAATGAAGAAAAATTTTAAAAAATATTGAAAAAATATGACAGCCAAGGATTATTGCTTTTAGTAAAAAATTAAAATTGAATAGGATTACTTTTCCATATTTATTTCCTATTGTTAAATTTCATAAAAATCCAGTAAAGTTTAGATTTATTGTGTGTGGTACAAATTGTTATAACTCTAGTATTAGTAAAAAGTTTTTCAATTTCCTTAAAATTATTTTACTTAAGATTAAAAAAGAGAATAATATTGTTATTGATATTAACATTGATGTGCTGAATTTTATCAATAATAATGTGGTTTCTAATATTAATACCTTTGACTTTGAAAATGCGTATACTAGTATACCGTATGCGCAAATAATTGATATTTGTAGTAACATTTATGACAAATATTTATTTCATAAAAATGTTGGTAAATCTTATTGGATGGATATTTGTAGGTTTAATCTTTTTGAATATGTACTTTTTAATGGCCTTAATTTTTATAAACAAACTATAGGGATTCCGCAAGGTAATTCTTTTTCTGGTGCTTTTGCTAATAGTTTTTTACATTTTTTGAAGCTAAATTTAGCGAATTTAATGACTTTAAAGCTTTTAGATATATTGATGATTTAATTTTATTTAATTGTGATAATTTTGATTTTATTTATAATATATATCCTAAAGAATTGATTTTGAGGAAAACTAATGATAATAGTTTAAGTGTTGAATATTTAGATTTTAATATAGATATTGTTGATCAATAAATTAAAATTGGTGTTTTTGATAAAAGAAAAGCTTTTAATTTTAAAGTTATTTTTTTCTGTAATTTTGATACTAATTTGTGCACTAAAATTTTCTAAAATTTAGTTTTTTTTCAATTTTTTAGAATTAATAAAATTTTTAATAATGTTTTAAGTTTTCAAAAGGCAACTAGTAATTTTTAAAAAATCTAGAAAATAATAGTTTTCTTTTTAATTTTTGTAATATTGATTTTAAAATAAAGAATATGATTGAGAATTATTAGTTTTTCAATGGGTTAAAAATTCCATTTTTGTTCAAGTCTCCTCAGTCAAGTTTTTCGTTTAATGACTTCACTACTTACTCAGCTGCTGTTCTTATTTCGTTTAACCGTGCAGATTAGGGGGTATTGTCTCTATGTTTATTTCATTTCATTTGTGTCGTGCAGTCGGACGTGAATTTTAACTATTGATTTTTTGTTATTTTAAGTAAATTTCTTTCTTACTTTCCTTCTGCATTTGTCATGTTTTTATTCTGCNACATTTACTTACCTCAGGTTCTTTTCCATGATGATGTAGTCCTTTGTGTACAGGTATATCTGTATCATAAGCCAACAATTTGCCCATAAAATCAAATCGAGCTGTATAACCAGTCTAATGGACAAAGAAATGAATAATAGTCTATAACAGTCATAAATTTAAAGAAAACACCATGTAAGAAAAGGAAAACACCAACATTTTTCAAGGCGCCATTTTATAATATTCTTCAGGAATTTTCTCTTACTTGCAATTTATTGTATGAAAAAAGAAATTTAATTTTAAAAATATGAAGCTTTCTCTTTAGGAAAGGAAATATTTTTGGATGCACAATTTGCATCTTAAAAAAAAGAAGAAAAACACACACTATACGTTTATGTTACGGCCATCTATTTTCAAGCACAACATTTAAAAAGGAAGTAACACAGAGTTCAAATAACTTTTTTTTGTATTACCCTTTTAGCACAAGGAAACAATTTTCTATTAAAATATTTCTTACAGTTTTATAATTACTCCTAAAATATTAAAAGTTTCACATTAACAACAAGAAAAATTTTAACAAACTTAAAATTGTAAAATGATATATATATATAAAAAATCTGTCTTATAAATCAATTGAAATAACAAAGAATTACGCATATCTCTTTGCATGAGAGAGAGTTACAGCATGCTTTTAAAATGTAAAAGCCTTTTAAAGTTTCAGTGCTTTGAAAACACTGAAATATTATAAGGCATACCCAATAATTTCTTTCGCATAAGATTTTATATAATAAAAAGAATAATTTTGCAAAACATGTAATTTTAGCAACAATGAATGATTCTGAAAACTTGAATTAAATATAATGCTTGTTTACATATTGAGGTGTGAAATAGAAGCTTCTAACTAAAATAATAAAAGTAATAACTATGATATTGTTATCCCAATTGATGTAAGAGTCAAAATTGTTGACGACCCACCCATATCTTCTCTATCTCATGATTACTTGTCCTTAAATAAAAATATAAACAGGCAGCAGAGCAAAAGAACTGCAGATATGGGCAATATATGGATTTTTTCAAAAGCTTTTCAAAAAATTAGTTACAGCTTTCTCCAATTTGGTTTAAAGGTATCTTAAAACCACTTTTGTATTTTCTGTTACAAATTTTTTAATTTAGAAGAAACAGTTTGGAACTTTACTATAAAGTTTAATGATCACTTTATTTATTTCTTAATTTTTTTGATAATAAAAAAAATAAGGAAAAAAACGAAGCATTTTACAAGATTTATTTCTTAATAAGATTGTGATAAGAATTAAAATAAATATTTATAAAAGAGTAACAAATTTGAAAATCAATAGTGTATGAATTAGATAGAATAAAAGATTAAGCAACAATTAGTAACATTAGAATATGCTATTATTTGGATTATATATTCACACCATTTTAATAACATACATTGATAGTTGCATTTAGTTAATATAAAGTTATACAGAGAGAATTATACTTGTGTGATTAAAAATTTACATATTATGATTCAAATTCATGTCAAAAATCAAACATCATGAGTCATATTTATATGCTTTAAAAATCAAATGTTGTGACTCATATTCACGCAATTTAGAAAACCAATATTGCCACTCGCATTTACAAGTTTTTAAAATCTAATATTAAAATTAATAGTCCCGTATTATTAAAATTCGAATTCATGATTTGTATTCACAGGACCTATTATAATTAGCTTACAATTCTAATTTTATTGATAAAAAAAGAAATAATAGGTTTTGAAAGAATAATCTGTTTATAAAACAAAACATGTTTGTAATATTTAAATTTTATATGCACGCTAATAATTAAAAAGTAAAAGTAATAATTTCCAAAATTTTTTATCATTTTCTCGAAGTTTTTTATTATTATTCAAGAATGGTCCAAATCTATATTTAGAAATTGAAATTTCAATTAAGAGTTATGTTTTTATTTCTTAAAATGAAATGGCTTGAAATTTTGATGATATTTATTCAGTTATATTTAAACATGTCAGTATTAAAATTTCATGAAATAAGATTAAAAAGAAATATATCATTTTCATTCTCATTTATAAAAATTGCAATTAGAATTTATAATTTTCTAAATTCAAAATAAACATATACTTTGCATATACTTTTTCCCTAATAAAATTTTTAAGTATTTTTTCATGAAGCCCCAATCACCCCTGGATGAATTAATTTTTTAATTTATAAAAAAAGTTCAAAAAAATTTTTTTCACCTTGGTTTAATTTTTACTTTTCATTCTTATAATTCATGTTATATATAAGAAATACTATGATTTTGTAGATAAATTTGGATTATGTACGCAGATAGTTAATTTTACTTTACTCTGAATGGCAAATTAAAAAATCACTTTAAAAACTATATTGATCAAAGTGAAGTGAAAAATAATAAAAAAGTTTTAGAAATATTTAACTAATGAAGAAATAACTACATGTCAGTAAAGCTGAAATTTTAACACATTGTTATAAATAAACAAGTAAATTGTGATGTATAAAATTAGTACTGTCAACACAATAATAAAAAAATTTTAAACCTTTT